ACCACCACCTCAACTTAGCTCTAATTCCGATTATATAAGTTATATGATTGTTTAAGCATAAAGTTAAGTGCGCGCCAGTAGGGGGCCGACCGCCCCCTAGGACCGGCCGCCCCTTGACCGCGCCGCCTCGCTACCGCCTTTGCGTGGCAGGCCATGGGCTGGTCATGGATCACTGCTCCATGGGTTTTTGCCCTATTTGAATTAAGTTGATGGCCATCTCCCTTGTTCCTTTGTGCAAATCAGCGTCGGAAAGCGCCTTTTGGTGATTTATTCCATGTATTTGTGTTTGTGACCTGCAAAATAATGTTCTCCAAATACATGTGGAACTTGGTTAATAGTAAATGCATATGTGATTAAGATTACTAATTTCTCCTCTTTTTGTGACTTATTTGGCGATCGGATTTGATCGATAGAGACCGCCAATAATCGTTCAGTTGCTAAGAGCAAGTTTTACCATTTGTTCCATAGAACCATTAATCATCGTTCAGATCATGTATAGTTAATTTGAGCGCTAGCAGCTACCCATATGCAGGTATAACCCATAGGTAATCAAGGTACAAGGTAACAATAACTAGGAGATCCTTACGTGTATCAAATTAGACACATGCACATGACTAAATAATTAAATGGTGAATTGTACAAGGAGATCACATGCTATACTTGCCTTGCTCAAAGTTTCCCTGCTGGTCCTGGTCGTCAAAGTAGTACTCTTGATCACCCGCGAATTGCTCACCGTCTATGGCCTTGTTTAGCTGGCCTATAAGCCGCTTGTGCTGATTTATATGGCTAATTTGTTGGGAGAGAAAAATATTGTACCATGACTGATAAGCCGTCTTATATGAGCAACCGAACAGGGCATATACTCGATCATCACATCAACATACAAGCATCTACGAGCAATCATGCATAGCAAATAAAGACTACATATTAGAATAGTACACCAACAGAGATAAAAACAAGATAAAGGTTTATAAAACAAATCTATGTCTTGCTAAGAACACACAGATACGAAGATCATGAAAATCGGAGCTAAAACGTGAAAGTTATGAGTTAAACAAGATTTCCTATAGTAGTTTAATAGATTAATTCTAACCATGAATTTTAAAAGTGGAAAACATGATTAAAAGTACCATAACATGTAGATTACGTAACTATGAACCTAACGCAACTTGAACGGATCAAATCGGATCTAAAACGGGGGAAATATGGTGAAAATGGCTCTGGATGGCAAAACCATAAATAACGCGAACTATTTTTGTAATAAAATAAATCAAAATTTGGGTTTTTTTAATCCGGTTGAGGACTGCGGGTGAATGTTCTAGTTTGGTTTTGGTGAATTGATGAAACCCTAAGTGCTAACCTAGTTTGTCAAAGTGATTATGAGATAGGTAGCACTACTCCAGGTGATGAAGCAAATGAAGATCATGACATGATGATGGTGATGGCATGGTGATGATCAAGTGCTTGGACTTGGAAAAGAAGAGAAAAACAAAAAGCTCAAGGCAAAGGTGAAATTGTTAGGAGCTTTATGGTTCGGTGATCAAGGCACTTAGTGAGTGTGATCACATTTAGGTTCGATAGCCGTACTATTAAGAGGGGTGAAACTCGTATCGAAATACGGTTATCAAAGTGCCACTAGATGCTCTAACTCATTGTATATGCATTTAGGATCTAGTGGAGTGCTAACACCCTTAAAAATGTTTGTGAAAATGTGCTAAGACACATGCACAAAGGTGATACACATTGTGTTTAGCACTTGGGAGCAAGAGTAAGAAACTTCACTGGTGGAGTGTCTGCCCGTAGAGTGCGGACAGTCCGACGGTGCCACCGGCACCCTGTATAGAAAAGACAGGGTCTCACAGAAAGCACCGGATGCTGGTCTCAACTGGACAGGAGCGTCCGGTCAGTGGAAGCAGTGAAGACGCTGGCGTCGGTCTTCGACCGGACACTGGCTGGGTGAGTCCAGTCCCGCTGACGTGGTAGCACAGAGGAGATAGTGGGTGACCGAACGCTGGGTGAGTCCGGTCGGGCATGACTGGAGGCGTCCGTTCGCGACTGGAACCTTACTTGAAACGACCGGACGCTGGGATCCTATGTCCGGTCACTTTCAAGCAGCGCGCCCAGTCACAACTTAAGTGCACCGATGACCGTTGAGATCAGGCAATCAGCGTTTGAAGCCGATGACATGTGGCAAGCATCGAGTGACTGTACGCTGGGGTCCTACGTCCGGTCGCCCTATTTTTTAGTGGACTGAGGAGCCAACGGCTCTATTTCATGGGGGCTTCTATTTAAGCCCCATGGCCGACTCAAGCTTACTCGCTTGGCCATTTGCATTGATATAGCAACCTTGTGAGCTTAGCCAAAGCCCTCCCACTCATCTCCATCATTGATTTATCATCTCTGTGAGATTGGGAGAGAATCCAAGTGTGTTGCTTGAGTGATTGCATCTAGAGGCACTTGGTATTAGTGTTTCGCTGCGGGATTCGCTTGTTGCTCTTGGTGGTTGCCACCACTTAGACGGCTTGGAGCAGCGGAGGAGGATTGGCACGAGTTGGTGATTGTTCGTAGACATCTCCGGTGATTATGAGGGGATTTGTACCTTCCCCGGTGGAGCGCCAAAAGGTAACTCTAGTGGATTGCTCGTGTCATTGAGTTACCTCACTTGTGGGTAGGTTCTTGTGGTGTCCAATTGTGTGGACGAGGTTCGTGCAACACCTCTTAGCCGCCGAACCACCAAGTGTTGGTCGACACAATGGGGACGTAGCATGTTGGCAAGCACGTGAACCTCGGGAGAAAATTGGTTGTCTCTTGCTCTTTGGTATTCTCCCCGTGATTGATTAAGTATTCATCTTGTGATTGGTTCACTCCTCTACGCGGCGGTATAATCATCTACTTACTCATTTACATTCCCGCAAACTAGCTATAGCAAGCTCTTTAGTGTAGCTAAAATTGAGAGTTTGCTTTGTAGATTAAGTTCATCTAGTGAAGCTCTATAGTGTAGCAATTGTGAGAGCTCTTAGTGAGTAGTGACCTAGTAGATTGTGTGCCTAGTGATCATAACAACTAGAATTATTGGATAGGTGGCTTGCAACCCTTGTAGAGCTAGAGCACGTTTGCTTTTCGCTATTTGTCATACTAATCAAATTGCTCTAGTTGGTTTATAGATTTTTAAATAGGCTATTCACCCCTCTCTAGCCATATTAGGACCTTTCAGCGGGGACAATTACAAAGAAACCGAGGGTCTCTTTATCAATTTCACCACGCGAAGGGTAATGGATGAATCTGATCCATTGGATCCGATCTGGACGGACCAGATTAGAACGGAGAGAGAGAGATGAGCACCGGCTGAAACAGGGCTCGGCGGCGAGACTTCGCCGGCGCGCACGAAATAGGGCCCTACGGGCCACGATTTGACGAACCGAGAGCACTGGGAGATAGCGGTGATGAAGGCGACCTCACCCCAGTGTTTAACGCGGCCAGAGCAAAGCTCACTGGCGCACGTGAGACCGGTCGTAGCGGCCACGATTCGACCCGGGAAATGAACGGGAAGCAAGAGGAGGAAATAGGGATCTCACAACGCAAAAAACGAAGGCGAAGACGAGTCGAAGATGGCGAACGGCTCAAAATGGCGGACGGAGCCTCCCTGTGAAGTTCAGCGAGGGTTAACAGGGTCCAGAGCGTGGTAGAGATCAAAGGGAGGGGCTAGACAGATCCTTCACCTCGTAACGATGAGCGTCAAGGGATTGGAGACGGTGCAGGGGCTTCCAATGACGGGCGCGGCGTCGGTGGTTGCGAGCTAGGGTTACAGGCAGCGCTGCGAGCTTGGTGGATGGGGAAAGAGAGTGCAATGGGGGGTGGCGGCTTAAGTAGAGCGCCCAGGCGCACGTGCGGGAGGCCAACGACACCGAGAAGCTCGGGCGCGGGGCGGCGCGATAAGCTACGGCGACATTTGGATAAGGGAGAAATCCTCCAGTCTTCAGCGGGAGGTTGGGGGCGGCGTGAGGTAGAAGGAACCGCCGACAGGTGGACCCCGCGCGTCAGCGAGACAGAGGGAGGAAGAGAGGGAGAGAGGGGCCACGGGTGCGCGTAGCGCCAAAGAGCGGCATAACGGTCCGGCGCTGGATGGATGGGCCACCAGGCTGAAATGAAGAAGGGAGGGAGAGATGAATTCCTTTGCCATTTTATTTTCAAAAATGATTTTCCAAATCCATTTTCAAAAGAATCTGAGCAATCATCACAAAAATAATAAATATGCGGCAGCATGAATGCATCAACATGTATCTAGCCTTATATTTGATTTTAATTTCATAAAAATTATTATTTCCCTAAGTTTGAATGCTCACAAAATGCATAAATAAATCAATTTGACATATTTTGAAATGATGCAAATTTTAGGGTGTTACATTATTTATTAGTAAACACTGCAGGGTGAGTTGCCTGATGGACTCACGATTGCCGTCAAAAGGTTGAATGAACATGCAGCAGTATATGATTTCAGCAATGAATTTCTAGTCGCGAGGCTTGAGCATATCAATCTAGTTAGGCTGTTGGGGTGGTGCATCCATGGGAAAGAAAGAATTCTGGTGTATGAGCTCATGCACAAAGGTGGCCTGCACCAATTCATCTTTGGTATGTTTTCCTATAACCAGAGTTGTTCTTCAAAACATACTTCACTTGATTCCTTTCCTTGTCTATAAAACCATTCTGATCAAATGAAAGACTTGAACAACTCCAATTTTAGTTCATTCCTTCTTGTCTCAGCTGATCTGAATTTATTGTCATATGATTCAGAATAGCTTAAAATTGTAAACAAAAGGATTCTAAATATGCTTGTTGCCTTAACATTTTGCAGACAAAGCAAAGGGCCATTGCTAGACTGGTCTAAGCGACTTAATATAATTAAAGGGTTAGCAGAGGGACTTGTTTACTTGCACAAGCACTCCATGTTTTGCATTGTCCATAGGGACCTGAAACCAGAAAATGTGCTCTTGGATCATGACATGAACCCAAAGATTTCGGATTTCGGATCAGCTGTAACTCTGAATTCAGATGCATCAGAAGGGCATACAAGTAGGGTTGTGAGAACTTGGTAAGCAATTCACAACATCGATTGTAACAGGACTATGCGCAAAACAATTGTGTTCTTGTGCACTGATGCCACTCTCCTGATTGTTTATTCAGTGGTTACAAAGCTCCAGAGTATGCATCTCGAGGCATTTATTCAGTCAAGACTGATGTTTTTAGCTTCGGGGTGTTCGCTTTAGCGGTCATCAGTGGGCGAAATATCATACTGGAGCATCAAGGAGACACTGTTGGTAACCTCGTAAGAGATGTGAGTGATTAGACTTTTGAAAATGTTGAATATTTGCTTAGTTTCGTCCTTCTATGTATTTATGTCAAAACTTTGACATACATATGTGAACTTGGATTAACACTATAAAATCTTTGCTGACAGCTAAACATATATTTCAGGCATGGCAGTTGTGGCATGATGGAAGGCTACATGAGCTTGTAGATCCAATATTAAAGTGATGGATTTGAACTTGCTGAGGTAACGCAGTACGCTCAGGTGGCACTACTCTGCACTCAGGAAGATCCAGCAGATCGCCCCACTATGTCAGACGTTACTGCACTCCTAAACTTTGAAAGCATAAGCCTATTGCCCGATCCTAAGCAGCCGCCTGAGCTGATTAATGGTGGTGCTACTGGCGATAAATTATCGACGTATGTTAATCAGTCAAGTAGAACCATAAACATAACCATCACAAGCTCAGCTCCAGTATCAACTAGGGTCTGCATCATTGTGGAGACAGAGACTTGAAATGTTCAAAATGATGTAAAAACAGAGAATCCATAATGTTTCTTTCTGTGTAAATGATTTGTTTTGAACGAAATCTTTGTGTGAATAATGTTATTTATTACTTTGAGAATATTATAGTATTTTGTTTGAGGTTTGCTACAGTGCTTGGAGGAACCACCGGTTCCTCTCTTAAGATATTTTTTGCAGCCGTGTGATTAAAAAAGAATTGATTATGTGTAATTATGGGTAGTCTTGTCTTTTTACCATGGACACTAATTTTGATTGATATCTTCCTCCTCGCGTCATGCTGTCACATGAACTGGATGCTCGATCGACAGAATAGGGGCTCGCCACTATTGTCCGTATACACACAGCGCCTCGGCGACGGCTGCCTGTCCTGGTCTCACCGCCGGACACGTGCAAGGGCTCGATGCCGACCATCTGCAGGGCTTGCCAGCGCTCGCGTGCAAGGGCCTGCAACTCAGCCGGTACAGGGATAACGGGCACCGCCCACCTACACGAGGCGCACCGACTGCCGCCTAGGAGTACCTCCGGCCACCTATAAGGGCTTGTCGTCGCCGGCTGCATCTAATTCTTTCACTGAACTTCGTACTTTTATTTCTTCTGAATCTCACGTCACAAAAAAAATTTGAAGGAAACTATAACAGTTTAGGCTTCTCGCTATGCTAAATTGAGAAATAATTGATATCAACTTAAGGACAGAAGCACATGATCTACAAAGCATGTCACCTTCAAGGTGTGCAATATCTTGTAAGAGATCAGACCACAAGTCCATAGATACTTAAAGGTACTGAGCTCAAGAGCATGCACCCTTGATACAAGAATTGGGGTTTTGACGTAGAGCATCTGGTTGTCGGCCCTGATGCAGAACGGGATCGGCGTGTTTGCAGCATAAGAGTGGGGAGAAATAAGAAATAAGCAGAGAGGAAACGGGACAACGAGAGCCCGCGCGTCAAGAGGGAGGGTCGCTGCGCCCACCGCCTAGGAGAGGGAGGGAGCTGCAGGCCCGGCCATCGGAGTCCGCAAGGGGCAGCCACGCCGCCGACGCGTCGAGAGGAAGGAAGCTGCGGAAGAAGCAGCTCATTTTCTTTGATTCAGAAAAGCCGCTGCTGAGACGTCAACTGTACCCTCCAAATTTAATCAGAAACCAGTTCCGGGTCCACATATTATTTAGTTCTGGCCCACAACTTAAGTTCGTTCCACCTGGTTCCTCTTATTTTTAGACTATCGGATCTAGCGAAACAGAGAGCTCCCATTATTTCCGAGCGCCGTAAAATTTCACATTTTACTTCACCTCGATCTAGGCTCTACTAAAGCTCGTTTTGGTGTTTGCCTTGTCTTTTTTGCTTTTTTAAAAGGATCAAAATCGGCAAGCTAAGACTCTTTTTCGCGAACGTCCTGAGGGTGTATTTAAGAAGAGAGCAAGCACGACCACAAGATTCCAAAACGAGCTCAGCCTCTTGTCAACAGAGAAAAAAATCTGACGTCAAAACAAGCGAGAAATTCCACGCTTAGTCAAAGTCCAAGTCCAGACTAACCTACTCACCTAGCCCATATAATTGGGCTCGTCAATGGCGGCGACCAGGTCCGGAGCAGGAGAGGCGGTGGTGTGCACGGCAGCCGGCAGGAAGCATCCATGGCAGGCCTCTTGGACAGCTCGAGCGGTCTGTGGACCGTGCTCGGGCAGGCCTCGAACGTGGCGCAGCTGGTCGGCGTGGACGCGCTCGGGCTGGTGTCCATGGTCGTGCAGGCCGCGTTGGCGGCGCGCCGCCACCGCGACGCGTGCCGCCGGCTGGCGCAGCACGTGGAGGTCGTCGGCGGCCTGCTGCAGGAGCTGGAGCTCGCCGAGCTGATGCGGCGGGAGGCCACGCGGCGGCCGCTCGAGCAGCTCCAGGGCGCACTGCGGCGGTGCTACGCGCTCGTCACGGCGTGCCAGGACTGCGGGTACCTCCGCAGCCTGTTCCTCGGCGCCCGGATGGCTGACGAGCTCCGCGCTGCGGAGAAGGAGATCGACATGTTCATCCGCTTAGTCCCACTCGTCGCCCTCGTCGACAGTACGCATGATCGCAATGCCAAGGTATGCGTGTTTTACCTTGCTGATTAGTAAGTACTAATACTTATGAGGTGGCTTCTTGATTTGGTACTTCAGTTCATATATCTTGTATGTATGAGGTCAAGAAGAACTGATTTGAAGGAGATTAATTCGACCTGTCTGTAATACCATCCCAAATTCTCCTTTCAGTTGACCCTAGGAAGTAGGAATTATGCAAATGGAACCCCTCCGTCCCTTTAATCTACTGTTCTCACTTCCGGTAACTCGAACATACTTAATTTTGACTAAATATATAAAATAGAATATTAATATTTATAGTACATAATTAGTACCGTTGATAGATCGTTTAATCTATTTTTATAATAAGTTTATTTAGAGATATAAATGTTGATAATATTTTCTATAAACTTAGGTCTTGTTTAGTTCCTCCTCTAAAGTTTAGTCCATATCATATCGTATGTTTGGACACATGTATGGAGTATTAAATATAGACTAAAAAAATAACTAATTGCACATATTGCGACTACTTTGTGAGATGAATTTATTAAGCCTAATTAGTCTATGATTTGACAATGTGGTGCTACAGTAATATGTGCTAATGATGGATTAATTAGGCTTAATAAATTTGTCTCGTGGATTACTGAGGACTTGTGTAATTTGTTTTATTATTACTATCGAACACTCCCATATGACACCCCATGTGACACCCCTAAATTTTAACCTCTGGATTTAAACACCACCTAGTTAAACTTGAGAAAATTTGATTGACACTTAAATATGGATGGAGGGAGTAGCTCTCAGTTGATCAAATCTCCCTTAATTTTTCTAGCATTATTTTTTAAGAAAATCCTAAAAATATATGGCTTACTGTTCAATCACTCAATATACATCTGTAGCATTTGTAAATTTTGACTGTTCCGTTCGTTGAGTTTTCTTTCTACCGTTGTCCAGCAGACTGCCGAGGGAGTACCAGGTCTAATCACGAATGGTTCAAACCATCATGTCAGGTTAGATTACTTTTAATGTAGTGGATTACTCAGCACGTGATTGCCAGGTGTCAAATAGCAAACTTTATCATGCCCTACAAAATCCTAAATTATATCATTATCAATTGTTTATTAAGAAATTGGCATCCTAAGTGAAATTCAATTTATGAACAATTAGAACATTACCGTTCATATTTGGCTAATTAATGACTAATAACTGATTTTAGATCGTACGTTCTGCAAAAAAAAACATTTCTGGACATAGAGTTCTGAAAAAGCATTTCTATTACTGTATACTATGAATTAATTTGTCTAGAAAGAATTTTGTGTTAGAATATCTAGTTACTCATGTGAACACTCTACCGGTTAGGCCTTTTCCTGTGTGAATGCGGCACTGGTCAGGTCCTTTGGGCCCCTATATACTTGTAATCCCATTGGTACCTCAAATCAAGTATGCTAAGCCTGTTGGCTTAACCTTCTTTCATGGTATCAGACGACTAATTGATCCTGTGTCTGTTTCTCTCCCACCCAATCCCCTGCTTCCGCTCCTTTCCCGGCACCCGCGTCCGCCTCTTCGGCCGCCGCGCCTGCCTCTTCGCGCCGCGCCCACCTTGACGGCCGCCGCGCGCCTCCCGACACCGCCGCGCGCGTCTCGTCGGCTGCCGCGCCCATGGCTGCCCCTCCATCGGGCGACTCTAGCTCCGGCACCTCGACTGCCGCCGCCGCGGCCAAACTTCGCGACGAAGCCATCGCCGCCGCCAAGACCCTGGAAGACGAGGCCGCTTCTCTGCGCACCTCCAACGCCGAGTGCAGTCAGCAACTCCAGGAGGAGGCGGGCCTTCTCAAGTCCGCCGCCGTCGCCCAGGAACGCGTCCGCGCCGCCGCCGCCTCCCTCGATTCGGAGCGCGCGCAGGCCGACGCTCTGGAGCAGCAGGCCTCTACCCTCCGGGATCGGCTCCGCGCTGATCCCCTCCGCGACAACGACTCGCTCGACGACGACAATACGCGCTCCATCTCCTCTGAGGCCGCGGCCATCGCTCACCTGCATAGCCAAGCCGCCGCCGTACAGAACATCAAGAACTTGATCCCCATCGTTCTTGATCTGCAGTCCTCCAACTACTCCAAATGGCGTGGCTACGTCCTCCTCACCCTCGGCCGCTTCACCCTGAAGGACCACGTCCTCAGCAACGTCACCCGCCCCCACGATGCGGTGTGGTCCCGCATGGACTACGTCGTCGTCTCGTGGATCTTCAACACCATCTCCCCCGACCTCCTCGACGTCATTCACGAGCGCGACGGCATCACTGCTCGGGCGGCGTGGCTCGGCATCAAACAGCAATTCTTCAACAACAGCGAGTCCCGCGCCATGCTCCTCGACGTCGAGTTCCGCACTTTCTGCCAGGGTGCCCTCTCCATCGACGAATACTATCGCAAGATGAAGAGCATGGCGGATGCGCTTGCCGATCTTGGCGAGCCCATCCTGGACCGTACTCTGGTGCTAAATGTCCTGCGCAGACTCAATGAACGTTTCCAGTTCATGTCGTAGTTCGTCACTCGACAGAGACCCTTCCCCTCCTTCACTGACGTCCGCGCTGACCTCCGCCTGGCCGAGCTCAACATGGCGCCACCCTCAGCACCGCCCTCAGCCCTCGTCGCCTCGTCGTCCAGTAGGCCGATCGCTCCTCCACCGCCCTCTGCACCCCCGCGCCCCCATCAGGCTGCCGGGGGGCAGCCGTCTGGCAACAGCAACGGTCGCGGTCGGCGTCGCCGTGGCGAACGCGGCCAAGGCGGCACACAAGGCGGCTCACCAAGTGGCCAGCAGCCCCCTGGCGGCCAGCAGTGGCCCTCCATCCTCAACCCATGGACCAGGTCCATCCATATGTGGCCCGGGTCCACCCTTGGAGGTCCTCGCAGTCCACCGCCTAGCGTCATCCCGCCTCCATCACTGCAGCAAGCCCTAGTGGCTGGTGTGCCCCCGGGGTACTTCACTCCATCGCCGGTCCTCGGGGCATACTACCAGGCGCCCTCTCCTACTTGGTTGCCATGGACTACCGAGTCCCTCGCCAACGCCTTAAGTACCGTCGCCCTCACTCCGCCACCAAGCTCCTCGAACTGGGTCATCGACTCTGGTGCTTCCTCTCACATTGCCACCAACCCTGGTATGGTCACAGCCTCGCCATCGTCCTCTTTTCCTTCCTCCATTGTTGTTGGCAATGGTGCCACCCTTCCAGTGGTTGGCACTAGCTTCTCCATCCTTCCCGGCCCTTTTCGCCACAACAATGTCCTTATAGCTCCTGACATTATTAAAAATCTTCTTTCTGTACGCAAGTTCACCACTGACAATTCTGTTTCAGTTGAATTTGACCCTCTTGGCGTTTCTGTGAAGGATCTCCACTCCAAGGACACCCTCCTTCGATGTAACAGCTCGGGACCTCTCTACACCTTGTAGTTGCCTACATCTTCCTCCAGTTCCTGTGCTCTTGTGGCTACTCCCTCCCTGACTATCTGGCATCATCGCCTCAGACACCCTGGCAAGGCTGCCCTTCAGAGTCTTGCCCAATCCTCTTCGATCATCTATAGCAAGGCTGACGACGACTCCCTCTGCCATGCGTGTCAACTTGGACGCCATGTTCGCTTACCTTTTACTAGTTCCTTGTCTATAGCAGCTAAGATTTTTGATTTAGTACATTGTGATCTATGGACATCACCTGTTACCAGCATATCCGGTTTCAAATATTACTTAGTTATCCTCGATGACTGCTCTCATTTTCTTTGGACTTTTCCCCTTCGTCTAAAGTCTGATACTTTCCCTACTATTTCCAATTTTTTCGCTCATGTGAACACTCAGTTCAGCTGCACCATCAAAACGGTACAGTGTGACAACGGCCGTGAGTTTGACAACTCCGCCTCTCGTGCGTTCTTCCTTGCCAACGGTGTTTCCCTCCGCATGTCCTGTCCTTATACTTCACAACAAAATGGGAAAGCCGAGCGCATGATTCGCACCACTAACAATGTCACCCGAACCCTCCTTTTTTAGGCTTCCATGCCACCCTCCTACTGGGCTGACGCCCTTGCTACTGCTACCCTCCTCCTCAATCGGCTCCCTACCAAGATGCTGCACATGAGCACTCCTTTCTTCGCGCTCTACGGCACCCACCCCTCTTATCATGACCTATGAGCTTTCGGATGCACCTGTTACCCTAACCTCACCGCTACCACTCCTCACAAACTTGCTCCTCGCTCCGCTCTATGTGTGTTCATCGGCTACTCGCCTGATCACAAGGGCTACAGGTGCATCAACCTCGCCACCAACCATGTCATCATCTCTCGGCATGTTGTTTTCGATGAAACAACATTTCCTTTCTCCCTTCGCCGACCCTCACCTCCTCCACAAGAGCTTGATTTTCTAACTAACGATGACCCCCTGTCAGTCTTCCCTTTACCTGCAGGTACACCCGGGCTTGCTGGCTCCTTGCCAGCACCCACACCTCCACATGCCCGCTCCCAGCCATCGCCACCGGTCACCCCGATGGTTGGTCTGGGCACCCCAACGCCCAGATCACCTCCACCAGGTTTCCCTGTCCTGCGGCCGCTGATCGCCCCGGCGACTGGCTCGCGCACGCCAGTCCCCCAGAAGTCTCTGGTACCCTCGGGTGCGCCCGCGGCACCTCCGGCACGTCATGTGCCCCCAGCGCCTCCTGTCCCGGAGCCCCCGGTACCCCCGGCGCCCCCAGCTCAGGAGCCTCCGGCCCCCGTGGTGCCCCAGGCGCCCGCCTTACCTCAGGCGCCTTCGGCTCCCTCCTTCAGCAAGCCTCCTATCATCCACGTCTACTCCAGGCGCCCTCCTGCACCCGGCTCACCTTCTGAGCCCGCTGCGGGGGCCCCTCCTCGACGCTCCAGCATTGTTCCCTCTCCGCCATGCTATGTCAAGTATGGCCCTCCGGTTCCGACAACGGCCGTCTCCATCCCTCTGGTCGCCAACTCCCATGGCATGGCGACCCACAGGAAGTCCGGGTACCGGTAGCCTCGTCTCGCCTTGCATACTGAGGCCCTGTCACCGATATCGCAGTCGTGTCGCGATGCTCTTGCCAATCCGCATTGGTGTCGGGCCATGGAAGAACATGCTGCTCTTCTGGACAACCACACTTGGGATCTTGTCCCTAGCCCGGCCAAGGCCAATGTGGTCACTGGAAAATGGATTTTCAAACACAAGTTTCATGCTGATGGTTCCTTGGAAAGATACAAGGCTCGTTGGGTCCTTCGCGGATTTACACAGTGCCCCGGTGTTGATTACGATGAGACCTTCAGCCCTGTCGTCAAACCAGCCACCGTTCGCACTGTCCTCACCTTGGCACACTCTCGGGACTGGCCGATCCATCAACTCGACGTGAAGAATGCTTTCCTCCACGGGACTTTGTTAGAAACTGTGTACTGCTTTCAGCCCACCGGGTTCGTTGATCCTGCTCTCCCGGACCATGTTTGCAAGCTCAACAAGTCTCTCTACGGGCTAAAGCAAGCACCCCGTGCGTGGTACAGCCAGTTTGCCGCTTACCTGCTCCCCTTGGGCTTCACTGAAGCCAAGTCAGACACCTCCCTGTTCATATATCAACGCGGCACCGAGACAATATATTTGCTCCTCTATGTGGATGACATCGTCCTCACTGCCTCCTCTCAGCAGCTCCTCCTCCGTATGATTGCCACCCTGAAGAAGGAATTTGCTATGAAAGACCTTGGTCCCTTGCATCACTTCCTAGGCGTGGCAGTTCAGCGACACAGGGACACTCTCATCCTCTCACAGTGCCAATACACCCTGGACATCCTTGATCGACATGGCATGAGCGGCTGCAATCCCTGCTCTACCCCCGTCGACACTTGTGCCAAGGTATCTGCAGATGCTGGCCCTCCTGTGGATGATCCCACAGCCTACCGCAGTCTTGCAGGTGCTCTCCAGTACCTAACGTTCACCCGCCCCGACATTGCATATGCCGTCCAGCAAATTTGCCTTCACATGCATGATCCCCGAGAGACTCACCTGATCGCTGCCAAGCGGATCCTTCGCTACCTTCAGGGCACCATCAGCTATGGCCTGGTCATCCCCCGGTCTGCCCTGACTCAACTCGTCATTTACACTGATGCTGACTGGGCCGGCTGCCTGGACACTCGCCGCTCCACCTCTGGATATGCTGTCTTCCTCGGTGGTAGCCTCGTCTCCTGGTCATCCAAAAGGCAACCCACTGTCTCTCGGTCGAGTGCCGAAGCCGAGTACCGTGTTGTTGCCAACGGCGTCGCCGAAACTTCATGGCTGCAGCAACTTCTACAGGAACCGCACCACCCCCTGAAGACTGCCTCCCTCATCTAATGCGACAATGTCAGCGCCGTCTACCTCTCCACCAACCCCGTTCAGCATCGACGCACCAAGCACGTGGAAATCGACCTTCACTTCGTCCGTGAACGGGTCGCCATTGGCACTGTCCGCGTCCTACATGTTCCCACAACGTCGCAGTACATGGATGTCTTCACCAAGAGGCTTCCTTCTTCTGTCTTCATGGAATTTCGCTCCAGTCTGAACGTTCGTCCCAGCAACGTTCCAACTGCGGGGGGTGTTAGAATATCTAGTTACTCATGTGAACACTCTACCGGTTAGGCCCTTTCTTGTGTGAATGCGGCACTGGTCAGGCCCTTTGGGCCCCTATATACTTGTAATCCCTTTGGTACCTCAAATCAAGTATGCTAAGCCTGTTGGCTTAACCTTCTTTCATTTTGCTTCCATAAATTTCTAGCATATTTGTTCATAGAGTAACAAGTATTTTTTACTTAAAAAATCCGAGTGAACCTCTAATTATGTAACCAAGCAACCTATTCTTCTGTTGAACATATTTTTCATCTTTTTCAGACTATTGATATTATTGATGGTTTTGGCATAATAATGATCTTTATCTACCATTAGGCTTCCAAGAAGTGTTTCGGACTTCACCAAAATACACATTCAAGGAGCTACACAAGTTTGCAGTGTTGCAAAACAACCATTAGCAGGTAGACAGTCGCCACTGTAAATTTCCTAGTTCTCGGGAATGTAGAATCAACCAAAATAATAATAATAAAATAAATCAAAACTCAAATACTAAATTCTCATGGTAATGTTTTTGCTCCAAGAATCACTAATTTTTATTACATGCATAATTTTTAATACTCTACTACTCACGTTTTTGAACATACTGCAACAGGAATAATGAAAAAGGGTGACATGTCACTAATAATTTAATATCTTTTATACCACTTTTGTATGCCACACAGAATTTCATACTGTATATATAAAAAATGAAATTAGCATGAGCCATGGGAAGAGTATTAAGCTACTAGTGTTACTAACATATCTGTAAGAGGCAAATTACACACTCTTGCATAAAGTTCTACACTAAATAGTTCCTTTCAAAGTAAAATGATATTTCGGTATCCACACTACAAAAGTCTTCCAATGTGTTGATTCAATGATCTACCAAAGAAACTTGAACATTTTCATGGTATTTTTGTTTTTGATTAGCCATATCAGCAAGTGTTGAGATTCTACAGTTAACATGGATAGCTTATCCATGATTCAGGAGCACTGGACTTAAGAGAACAGAAAAGTCTGGACATTGAGGAACTGTTGGAGCTTTGCATCCGTACTCAAGAGAGTTGCTCAGGATTCAGAAGGTTTGAATTCTTCCAGATTATTGATGCTACAGACAATTTCTCAGAAAGTAGAAAAGTCGGGTGGGGTGGTTTTGCTACAGTTTACAAGGTAATTATAACCCAAAATAGAAATAACTAATGGAGTGATTGCTTATATCCTTTGACTTTCAAATGTGGCGCTATTTTTGTATTCTTGAAAGGTTGTTTAAAGTAGATCTAATTAATCATTGCAGGGTCAGTTGCCTGATGGATCCATGATTGCCATCAAAAGGATGGATGAAAATGCTACAGTGTTTGATTTCAGCAGTGAATTTCTGCTTGCGAGGCTTCAGCATACCAATCTAGTTAGACTTTTTGGGGTGGTGTATCCATGGGAAAGAAAGGATTCTAGTGTATGAGTTCATGCACAAGGGTAGCCTGCACCATTTCATCTTTGGTACACATCCCTATGACCTGTTATTTTCACAGTATGTTTCTATATAGTTCCTCCATTTGTTTTTTCTAACATGAGTCATAACTGGTAGGAGCTCTGCCTTTCGATTAAGAAGGGAAACAAAGTTTAAACATCTTTATAATTTATATACACCCATGGGCATGGCCAGTCCCGAAACTCCACAGGAGCACCACATAATTCACCTGGCAAGATTTTTCCACAACACAAAATTGCACACAACGCAAGATTTACAGGTTGAGGTCTACAGCAATGAATTAAATGCCCTCTTAAGCTACTCAATGTCATCCTAAACTCTGGATGCCACTTGCTGCACTGTTTGGAATTTATTTTCAAATATATGCCTATTGCACTCTTTCCAAAGATTCCACTCTTGTTTCACTTTATTCTTGGTTTTTTATCATAATTGATCTGAAGCTATTCTCATTTTGATTGTAGTTGTGTAAACTGTAATTTCATTTTAAACTGAATCACAATTGTTCTTTTGCACATTTTCAGACAAAAGAATGGGGTCGTTGCTAGACTGGTCTAAGCGAATCAATATAATCAAAGGGTTAGCTGAAGGACTTGTTTACCTTCACAAACAGTCCAAGTTATGGATTGTCCATAGGGATTTGAAACCTAAGAACGTCCTGTTAGATCATGACATGAACCCAAAGATTGCTGATTTTGGATCAGCTAGAACTCTGAGTTCAGATTTCGCTGAAGAGTGTACAAGCAGGGTTGTGGGGACTAGGTAAGATACACATAATTTCAATTCTAGGCTTGTGCAACAATAGTGTTCCAATGTGTTAATGTCTCTCTTTTGGTGTTTATGAAGTGGCTACAAAGCTCCTGAGTACACGTCTCAAGGTGTATATTCACTAAAGACAGATGTGTTTAGCTTTGGGGTGATGGTTTTAGTGACCATCAGTGGGCGAAAGAATACCATACTGGAGAAGCAAGGAGATTCTGTTGGCACCCTTGTACGAGATGTGAGTAAACATGGCATTTCAAAATGCCCCCCATTTCAAAATATTGAATATTTGCTGTTGCTTTCTCCTCTACATATTTGTTCCAAAACGTTATATACCATTTATGAATTTGTATTTACACTACAATATTATTGCTGGTGCTAAACAAATTGAAGAAAAATATTTCAGGCATGGCAACTTTGGAATGATGGAAGGTTACATGAGCTTGTGGATCCAATATTGGGTGATGAATTTGAACTTGCTGAGGTAATGCAGTATGCTCAAGTGGCACTACTCTGCGCTCAGGAGGAACCCGCAGATCGTCCCACCATGTCGGATGTTGTGTCACTCTTGAACTTTCAAAGCATAAGTTTATTACCAGATCCTAAGCAGACGTCTGAGCTGTACAAGCGAGGTGCTACTGGTGACAAGTTATCGACATATGTTAGCCAGTCAAGTAGGACCATAGACATAACAATCACAAGTTCAGCACCTATGTCAACTAGGGTCCGCATCATTGTAGACCCAGAGACCTAAAATGTAGACACAAATTAATATATAACAGAACATGGAGAACTTGAAATGTGATGGGCTTTGGGCCACTTCATGCAGAATGTCAAATATTAGGAGCATACTGTCTGTGTGTGTATATTACATCACTCTTACCGTTTTTGGATTTTACCTATAATATCTAATGGTTAATCGGTAACTATCCATGACATTGTCAGGAAAAAAGTATTTGTATCTTCATTGCTGATATGGTGATATCTTAGTCAATGTGTTAGAGCTTGTTGGCGCACAAACACTGCCTCAGCCATCAAATTCATAGCAGATTTCACCAACGAGCCTGGATACTAAACTTTACTAGCATAAAACCAAGTAGAAGAGTAATATCCACATGCATCACCACCTGTTAGCAATTACAGAATTACTCTTGCTCAACAGGAAACAAAAAGGCAAAAGCTAAATGGAGCAGGTCCTCCATTTTAGTCTAAAAAAAGGAGAGTCCACAAACTTTCTCAGAATACAAATATTTCATCCCGCCATTTTTCAGGAAAAAGAAAGAAAGATGATTTGTTTACTTTGTGCCTGTAACCACAAAAGTAACTTTATGGTCCGTAAATGTAACATGTGAAAAGTTACATCTAATAGGAAAAGGAATTTTGTAAGCTATGGTCTATAGTCTGTGAATAGAACTAGTGAAAAAGTTATGTCTGATAGAAAATTAACCTTGTTGTCTCAAAGATGTAACTTTGATGTTATGGAAAAGGAACTTAACTGTTTTGTAAATTTAACTTCTTTGTTGTTCAAAATTATTACTTATACTCTGATGATGTAATTTTATTGTTTTAAAAAATTAACTTTTCCATTATGATCAAATAACTTTGTTGTTTTCTAAAAATAATTAATTTTGAATATACAATTTACGCCTTGACATGTAACTTTGTTGTTCTCAAAATGAATCTTTTTTGTTCAAGATTGTACCTTATGCTTGATGATGCAACTTGGATGTTTCGAAGAAGTAATTTTAGTATGTCTATATAAGACAAAAATCTACAGCAGATTGAGAATTAAAAATAATTCTATTTTTGGAAATTGGCAGCAACTATTTTTTTTTGGAAAGTTGGACGGAAATAGGAATAGAGAAATTGTTAATTTTAGAGAGGTGAAGGACAATTTTTTTGGAAAAGATCAAGGACTAATTGTTTTTTTTTCTAGAAAGCTGAAAGTTAAGACTCAGTGGAGAGTGCTCTCCATGTAGTGTTTATTATCGAAATTAATGATTAGTGCCTTTTTTATTTCCTTGTGCCCCTCGACCCTCGTACGTGCTCTGACTCATCTTCGATGGCTCCTTGCTCTCCTAAGCTAGGCCACAGCCCACTGCTGCACTGCTAATTCATCTTTCATTCTCCATGCTATGGCTGACTCACCCCTACCCTTGTCGTGCCACTTTTCTCCTATAGTCTTCGTTTGGGCTGATTTGGCTTATAAGCCATGACTGAAAGTATTGTTGGCTGGTTTGGTGTGAGAGAAAAATATTGTTCGTTGGCTGATAAGCCATGGCTTATAAGCTAAATACGACCAAGCGAACAGACTTTTCGATATGGCTCCTCCCCACACTCCACAACTGTGCTGCTAATCTGTCTTCGACCATGCTATGGCTGACCCATCCCTACCTGGTGGCGGATCCAGAAAAAATTTTAGGGGGGGCTGAACAAAAAAGTGCGAGAGCAACATATCTCCGACTGCTACTTGATCTTAAGTCTCAGCCCCACATACATGATAAAACTTTGCCTAAAAATTCATGGGGGCTCCAGAGCTCCGATATCGGTAGGGGGGCTCGAGCCCCCCCCCCCCCACACACTGTTGAATCCACCAGTGACCATCCTGCATGCTCCGCCACATAACCGACAGTGCTCCTTCCACCACACGGTTTCCCCATAACCGTCATCACTATAGGGCGTTGTTCCTCCTAAATCTAATATTTGTTTAGAGGTTTGTGAGAGCTGCCTTTAGCCTCCAGACACAGACTCTAAAGACTCAACGAGCCCAACCCATAAATCCAAATAACTCGCCTGCGAAAATAGCACAGTTGATATAGTCTTATTAATAACATTTGGGTTTTTTAAGTTGAGAATAACTTTTGCAAATTACTATTTATTTACTTATTCCTATGGAACCATCTTTTATGCTGAGTTACTGCTCTTGTGCCTGCATCTATACCACTCTACCGCATTGCTATTGGTCAGCTACGACCATGTTTGTTCTTGCTTGTGACTAACTTTTAACGAATAAAAAAATCAATGATATTTTGGTCTTGTTGGGGAGCTTTTCATGTATTCGCATTGGAAAATGGAACAATTATGCATATAAGATACTGAAAGATACTATGGTTTTTGTGATTATGTCATATTCTTGTCTGTCGGAAATTGTTTCTCACATAGATCATCGACATGAAAACTGAGATTTACGCCACAATCATTAATTGTAATCGACTTGTCGACGTCAATGGTAGTGTTCTAACCAGGAACATGAGGAAAGAGCAACTCGACGATCTTAATTATTAGGGCTACGACAAGAAGACATGCTGAGATGTCGAGATGTGAAACACGATGGCATAAAGTGGTGGGATATGGGAATTCTTAATGATGGTTTATGGGCATGCAAAGACATTGGTGCCAATAGCTCATGTGCATGCATGTAATAACCTCTCCTCCTATCAGGGGTTTAGAATTTTGGCCTTGTGTATTCAAAGTATGAAAGGGTGTCAATTTTCTTTTAACAACATAAGCTCCTAAAGTTTAATATTTGGATGCATAATATCGCAGCGTATAGTTCTAATTGTATAATGTGTAGCACATAATATAACAATAATTGAACATGATTTCATAAATTCATAGAATTTCTGTATAACTTGAAACAATTAACATAAAGAAATATCAATTTCTGTATAATGCAAATTAGAGTACCAGACTACGAACCAATTCATGCTAACTTCATATTCGAAGCAATAAGCAGAGGAACAAGATACTAGGAACTTTACCCAAAAGCAAATCAGACTACGAACGATTCATTCTAAGTTCCTATTCGAAACAACAAGCAGGCGAACAAGATACTAGGAACTATCAGACTGATTCTTCCCAATAACAACGGTATTCGAACCAACAAGCAACCGAACGAGATACTAGGAACTATGAAACTGAT